TCACTGCTTTCTTTTTACTTCCGGTGTAATAAACCACAATTTTCTAGGGCTTTATTTGATGGAATGATAAATAAAATTCCCGTTTCCTGGAATGCAATGATTTCTGGATATGAACAGTCTGGATGCCCAGAGCAAGCTCTTGACACATTCCGTCACATGCTAAAACAAGGAATTAGGCCCAATGTGATTGCAATAACAAGTCTTCTTGGGGCATGCTCACAGCTCTCATGCTTGAGGCTGGGAAAGGAAGTACACTGTTTTACCTTGAAGGGCAATCTGACAGAAGATGTGTTTGTTACTGTTCCATCATAGATATGTATGCTAAATGTGGATGCATAGAATTCTCTCAGAGGATCTTTGATAGCATGACTAAGAAAATTTCAGCATCATGGACAGCCATGATTTCAGGATATGCAGTTCATGGACATGGAAAGGAGGCATTGCTGCTATTTGAACAGATGCGAATACAGGGATTCATGCCTGATCATTTTACGTTTGTCAGTATACTTATGGCATGCAGCCATGCTGGGCTTATTGAAGAAGGTCTGGAATATTTCTATGAAATGCATAGTTTATATGGGTTAATTCCCAGATTAGAGCATTATACTTGTGTGTTGGACATGCTAGCACGTGCTGGGAAACTGTGTGATGCAATGGTGCTTGTGAAAAATATGCCCATGGAAGCTGACGCTAAAATTTGGACTTCTTTGATTAGTTCTTGTAGAATTCATGGCGATATGGTTTTAGGAAGAATAGCAGCTGAGAAACTGCTACAACTTGATCCGAATAGGGTAGAGAACTATGTTTTAGTATCAAATTTACTAGCACAATCAGGCAAGTGGGATGATGTGAGAAGTGTGAGAGCGAAAATGAAAGAGAAAAGACTTCAGAAAGATGCTGGTTGTAGTTGGGTGGAAATTGGAGGGAAGATTTATAATTTCGTCGTTGGTCATCACATGCTTTCTAAATCAGAAGAGATTCAAAAAAATTGGACTGAATTAGAGGAGAAGATCAGGAAAATTGGTTACATTCCTGATACTAGTTCAGTGCTTCATGATGTGGGACAAGAAGAGAAATTACAAATTCTAAGGGGACATAGTGAGAAGCTTGCAGTCTCCTTTGCCTTGTTAAAAACTGCAGACGGTATGACAGTGAGAGTTTGCAAGAATCTGCGTATATGTTGCGACTGCCATAATGCGATTAAACTGGTATCCAAGGTTGTTAACAGGGAGATAGTTGTGAGAGATAACAAGCGGTTCCACCATTTTAAGAATGGGTGGTGTTCATGTGGAGATTATTGGTAAAAGAAAGGTTGTTAACAGGGAGATAGTTGTGAGAGATAACAAGCGGTTCCACCATTTTAAGAATGGGTGGTGTTCATGTGGAGATTATTGGTGAAAGAGTCGTATGCAACCTTTCACATTTGAAGCCGAAGACATGATCTTTCCGTTGTGAGTAGGGTTGTAAATTTGTAATGACCTAAGACTCTGTTCACTTTCAGGTTCATCAGTGACTAGTTTGTGTTCGGCTACATAAAGAGTCATTAAAAAAAAAAAAAAAAGCTTTTTTATGATCTTAACACCGTTGAGAATTAAACCCAACTCAAAATTGCTAAATCTTGAATGAACTGGGCCTGGACGACAGATTAGTTAGCTCAAATAAAAGCTCAAGCTCAGGATGATTAAATAAAGTGAGCTTGACATGAACAAAATAATATGATTGGCTTGGCTTGACTCGGATCATACATACCCGTACTTGTGAGAAAGTTATTCAGCTCTACAAATGCTCTTTAGCCTGGAATTCAAGCTTTCAACCATGTGTAAATTTTACTCATCAAGAAGGTGCTCAAAAATTTATTTATACAGCTTGCCAATTATCCTATCTCATTACCCTTTTTAAATCATTGTCTTGTATCTTCGTAGTTCCCTTATTCCATGTAACAAGTGAGGGTAGCAGCTGCATCTTTGATGGAGATCTTTAGACACCTTTCCAAAAATCAAAGCAAACACAGACTTTTAACAGCTCTGGTAATTATTTTTATCATATGGAGATATTAAATAGACTGCTGTTCTTACATAAATTTTGCTAAGAACAGGGAGTATTGAAATTTTTTTACAAAAAATCTCCTTTCTAAGAATTCTGTCATATTTATGGGTTATCAACTTATCACTATTTTGAAAAAAAAAAAAAAAAAACCTTATCACTAATCAGGCAATGATGTTTGATATGTAGAAATGCTAAAAAACAGTTGATAAAAATTGACCTGGTCTAAATTAGCTCAGTTTAGAGCTCTACTACTACCTCAATATTCCCATGGACTACAGATCTTGGAAGAAGATAAAAGGAAGAAAAGTGGAGATTTTTTAATCATACGGCGGCACAATATCCTTTGAACCTCAGCCACTTTGCCATTTTCTTTGCTTTCTTGCTCTGTTTTTACTTAAACTGGTAACTGCCCACCTCATTGCCTCACCCCTCTTATTTGAAGTTAATGTTTGACTGTTTGAATATCATGCTGACTTTTAAAGATTCTGCTCATTGCTGTTACTAAATGCTAAATCTGGCCTTCTGCAGAAATTTATGATGCACTCGAATATTATAATTAAATGGGATACCATTATTTGGAACCCTGATGTATAGTGTAAGTACTCTTACTATATTAATGTTTTTCAGATGCTGTGAAGTTCTGGCAATTTTCCCTATTTGGAATGCAAGTATGCATTGCTTGAACTTTTTGAGGACAAATTAGAAGGGCTTCATCTCTCTTTTGTGGTCAGACATTTGCACGTTTAGCTCCACATTAAATAAGCACTCCATATCAAGTAGCATAATCCATTTATATGTTTCCCCAAGCCAGAGATGGAAATATCATCAAATTCTTTTATGGACATTTTGCATCATTGTTTGATCATGCTTCTGTCCACCAAGATCTTATTTTGTTATTAGTGTTAATGCATTTATCAAAATATGCAGTATTTACATCACCATCTTTAACCAGTTTGCCTTTCTCTTCTGCCTCAAAAAGCTAATGTAAGCTTCCTAAGTTTCAACAACCTCAGCCCTAGCATCAACTTCGTCCTTTCATAACATCATGTCTGTGAGATTCTGATGATATAACTTCAGAGTTTGCAGAAGCTTATTTGCAGCCTTATTATGATCTTTTTTCTACATTATTACAACAGAGAACTGGTATAATTGACAAGAATGGTACCGTACTCTATCACTTCCCTATGAAATTAAAGTGGTATGTTAAACTGTTATAATGCGCTGAAGCGTATCTAAACATAATTAATGGCCTTTCAGTATTTCACCTAAACTATTCTGCTTATCTCAATTTATCGGCATGGTTATAAATATTGGTGGCTGATTGGCTGTACCAGCGGATTATGTACCAGGGACAGTTGCAGAACAGCTAATCGAGAAGGTAGTGTTTTCTTTTTTGACAGGTTAGCAAATGCCCTCATGGACGATCTTTTACTGCATTTTTACAGTGATGCAAGAGATTGTGATGAACCTTTCTTAATATATTGCCTAATAAAAGGTTGTGATGAACCTTTCTTAATATATAGCCTAATATGCTATGCTTTTTCTCATAAGTCGTGACATTCAACATTAAATGCTTTAAAAAACAAGACAAATTGGCAAGATTGAAGACATTGGCATGGTGAATGTTGTTCTTGAAATGTTAGAGATACAGTTGGAGGTTCAAATGTGATCCTTGTACTAAAGTGCTAAATCATGGGCATTATTGTGAAAATCAGTGGTGAAATGATGTTTCTTTAGTACTTGATATAGCAATTGAACTGCTAATTCAATATGTTTGCTACTCCTGTAAACTTTTGATGCTGTTCACTTTTGGCTAAGGTTGTGAATGACTAATTAATGTTCTGCATTAAGTTCTTCATGCTTATTTTTCTCTATTCCTGAAGTTGCTTTAGGATGAGCTTTAAACTCTACATATATACTCCTAAATTGAATACTAACTGCAATGCATTTCTGAGATTTTTCCTCTGAGCTCTTTGATTTGTAAAATTGTTTCACAGAGAATTTACAGGAAAAATTCCGTATAGGTAAAAATAAAATTGTGGATACTTGACCAGCGACCTCTTCTGATTGCACTCTGACCTGAGTATCCTTAGCTATAATATAAATTGCATCTAGTAATGCAGTTGTGTTTGACCATAGGGAAGTTCAATTTGGGGAAGCTGTACGAAAAGATTGAATTCAACTAGGAGATCATATCAAGGGGAAAGTTTGCTGAGCTCGAGTGGCATAGGAGTTACTCTCGTTGGGGTGGACAACTCTAAAACTACTTCAGGAGTTAACAACTGTGGAGGGAATCCAGGCAAGGATGAATGGGGATCACACCATTAAGCAACTTGGTGAAGCATCTAACGGCAATCCTTCCATATCTATATATATATTATATATATACAATATACTGAAGTACGTAGTATTATATTCGTATGAAAAAAGAAAGTGTAAGTCATCAAAGCTTTCGAAAATACACAGGTGACAAAATTTTTTAATGTAACTTGCATGTACTCCTTAATGTTTAAATAGTAAGAGGCTAAATGTATGGGTGTAATCAGATATTTTACCCATCTTTGGGTTATGTTGCGTTCTTTTAGTGTGACCGTCATGTTAACTGTACTGCTATGTTCATTATGGAGTACTCATATTGTAGTTCTATATATCTTAATCAGTGATACAGCCTCACATGTGAATGTTAAGGGAAAAATTAGCACCCTAAGACCATATAAGCAACTTCTAATAGGTATATGTTTACAAGATAACATTTGAAAAGCTGTAGCATCACAGCATATCTCCATTCAAAAATCAAAAAGTAAATAAATTTATAATTTTGCCATTATTTACAAGTTTGTCATTGACACATACAAATACGTATATATCAATTATACTTTAGGAATTTCCCGACAGCATGTCCCCTTCTAACCCCCTCTAATTTTCTTTTATTTCAAATAATAGGAAATCAAAATATCACCTCCTCTCTCATCTTCTTTAGATCACCTATTCCAAACAAGTTGCTAATCGACTAAAAGATACCAAGTACTGTTTAACATACTGAAAATGCTTGATCATAACATACTGAACATTTTATCAGAGACAGCCTACTTTCTCCGACCCTTGTTCTTCTTTCGAGAAACAGGAATCCACCCATCCACCTCCATATCTTGGGAAGCAACTTCATTTTTTGAGGAGATGCCTAGTGAATCTATCATCATACTCGGACCTACATCATTCCTCGTATCATTGTTGTCATCATCGTCATCATTACTGATAACCTGCAACATGATGAGATACAAGATTCAGCACTTTGATAATAATAGACACTGGGAGTCTAAGAACAACATGTTCTCCTCACTATATATCCTTTAAGTGCTGCTTCATCTAATCCTTTGCTTTGCATGTACATTCTTTTTAAGTTGCAGGTAAGAGACTCACGTGTGATGACATTTTTGGGATGGAGGAAATACAATTTGGAATCTAACAAGATCATACATGATTACACTCTTTTTTTCACAAACAAAAATCTTTAAAAATGGTCATAGTATATAATACAATGTGAATTGTGAAAGAAAAAAAAATGGTCAGAGAAGTCATCTAAAAAAGAATTGAGGAGCTATAATTAAATAGATGTTATTGTGAAATTAATACTAGTAATGAATAGGTTTTAAAATGACCATGAGCAACACAAGACCTAAGCTAGGAGATATGTAAATGTTTAAAATGCCAAAAGGCTTACCTCAATCAAGACAAAACCCAACAAAAAAACCTAAAACCTCATGCAGTCTAAAAAAAACCTCAAGCAGTCAAAAAAACATGCACAATCTCAGCCACAATATATGATACACTATACATGGAGGGAAATTACTGGTACCACATGGCGAATTGGCCTCACTTCCCTAAGCTTTTGAATTGATTGATAGTCACCCTCTAAGCATTCTTCATACATAATCATCAGCTTGTTTAACAGAATAATGCTAGATCAGAATAAAGCATTAAACTTATAACTTCAAGTACAATATAAGTTATACTTCATAATCAAATAGATACAAGAAATAACCTCCTTACATTCCACTTCGTAGTCCATCAAACTCATGGAATCCATGCCGTCACAAAGCAAATCTTCTAAATTGAAAACGCATTGAGGTTCTGAGAAAGAGGAGCATTTACATTAGAACTAAAGCCAAAATTAAGAACCCAGCAAGAACTTTAATATCCTCTTTAAGCTTTAATTGACTATATACTCACATATTTGTTCAACTAATAACCTCAAAATCATCTTTGCTATGATTTTCAGTATGATGGCTAAAGCACATAAATGTGAAACATGGCATCATCATCGATGATAAGTTTATTATAGAAATATTGCATGAGATGAAATAGCATCTTTACCCTTGTTCTTAGGTTGGCAGAAGAAACTGAGAACAGAAGACTCAATAGAGACTGCTTTTTCACGCGAATAAAGGCCTCCACACCCTCCATTCACTGCATCTTGTAGCGCAACCCAACCTGAGAATACAAGTGATACCCCTTGTTGAAATTGCTCAAGGGCATCTGCTGTTAGCTTTGACCTCTTCGAAGCTTCCATTGTCAGTGCGCAAGCTGTTAAGATGAAGGACCTTAGACCTCCAAAAATAGTTAATGCTGAAAAACAACAACAATTGATTTAGGAATTCAGTTTTGATAAGGTTCATTTGTCAGTGGCTAATTTATGAGAAAATCTCTGTTTCTCACCGTGAGAAACAGAAGCGTTTCTCACGGTGGCATTTCTGTAATAAAATTGATGTTTTTCACTTACTGGGATGCTGACTAGGATGCTGACTGAAGCTGAGTGGGGACATCCAAGAATAATCTGTGAAAACTCTCTGTTAACGGAGCTTAGCTTAGGCGGGAAACTATTCAACACGTCAAATCGCTTCTCTTTCTTCTTTTGTTCTCTTTCTTCTGTTCTCTCTTTCCTCTGTTCTCTTTCTTAGGTAGTTTTCTGTTCTCTTCTCTTCTTCGTCCAGTCGCTTCCCCCACTGCCTGTCAATCTGCACACTATCTTCACACATCTTCGAGTTGAACCTTCCAGACCCAGTTGAATTAGCAGGTAGTTTTCTGTTCAGGTAATTCTCTTTCTTCGTCCAGTCGCTTCTTCCAGTCATCAGTCCATTAATTTGAGAATTGCAACCGAAATCAAAATAATTTTGAAAGTAATGGTATTATGAGGTTAATGGCTCTGTTAAAATGGGTGGGGGTCTGAGGTTGCTGGAAAATGGCAGAATGATTTTGTTGAAAATGCAATTCATACTTTTTTTGATAATGTGTTGTCTTCGTACTTTGAAACAAATCCCTCCTGTTATTTTTTGAAGATTGGTTGTACTGTATTACTTTGGTGGTTGTTCAACTGGTTGATTGATTTGTGTTGGTTGGTTGTATTTCTGTTTTGGGTCGAATTTGTGCTTTGAAAACGTGTTGTAATTAACTGGTTTTATTTGTATTGTAATTTGGTTGATTAACTGGTTTTATTTGTATTTTAATTATGTTGGTGTTCTGTATTTGAAGGGTGAATTGTTTTTGATGGAGAAGACTGGTATTATGACCGATATTATGGAAATGGAAACTGAAGGCGTTATTAGGGGCAGTGAGGTTGGTGTTGGTGATTGTGGTAGTGTCGTGAAGTTTAGGAGTAATGTTGATATGGAGGAGGAGGAGGGCAATGATATGGAGGGTATAGAAGACATAGTTGTTGCAGATAGTTGTGCTGAGGGTGTTGGTGCAGCTGACATGAATTTGAATGTTAGGTATTTATCCCCCGTGAAAACAATTCATACGACTCACATTGTGGTTGGTAGCAACGAAATGCGTGTAACTGTTGAGGAGCCTAAGGAAGGGATGGTTTTCCGGTCTTGGCAAGAGGTTGAAGCCTACTATAAGGAGTATGCTGAGCAGATGGGGTTTGGAGTGTCAAGGGTTCAAGGCGTAAATTCTAAGACGGCGGACAAACAAAGAATTGCAAGCACGTGGCGGTGTGAGTGTTGGGGTAAACCCGACATGAGGGCTAGGAGGGAAGCGAAGAAGAGGGCAAAGGCAATGGGTGTTGGAGGTTCAGGTGGTTTAGTTGATGGGGTGGTATGTGAGGATGAGTTAAGTCGTAGGAAGAGGACTTCGAAAAAGTGTGAATGTGAGGCCCGTGTTTATGCTAGAGTGAATGAAGATGGCATGTGGGTGTTGAAGACAGTGCACTTAAAGCATAATCACAAGGTTGATCCGGCAAATTCTAAGCTTGTGAAGGAGTACCGCATGAAGCAAATGACCTCAACAGTGAAGAAGAAGCTGATGGATTTCTATGAGCAAGGTTTACCAATTTCTCAAATACACGGTTGCATGGCGACCGAACGAAACGGTAACATGGCTCTCACCGTCAAAGATTTACAACATGAGGTGTACAAGGCTAGGCGGTTGAAGATGGTTGGAGGGGACTCGGTGGCAATGATGGAGTACTTTGAAAAAATGCAATCCGGCAACCAAAATTTTTTCCATGCTCAACGTTTGGATGAAGAAGGGAGGCTTAAGGATAAATTGTGGGTGGATGCAAGAAGTAGGGTAGCTTATGAGGACTTTGGTGATGCGGTTTGCTTCGACGCGACATACCTAACAAATGAGTACGATCTCCCATTTGCGAACTTTGTCGGTGTGAACCACCATGGGCAGTCGTTGTTGTTGGGATGTGCTCTTGTTTCACATGAAGACTGCGATACGTTTGCTTGGATATTCCGACAGTGGCTAGCTTGCATGAACAACCGAGCTCCTAAAGCCATTTTGACCGACCAAGCGGCAGCTATGCGGAGGCCCCTAGCTGAAGTCATGCCGAACACGGTTCATCGTTGGTGCATATGGCATATCATGAGCAAGATCCCTGAGAAACTTGGCAAGTGTGCACGGTATGTTGTGATATTCTTCCTGCCAATTTAAATTTATACAAATCTGAAATCTCAAGGTCTTGAGATCAGTTTCATAGGAAGAATAAACTGAATCACTTATTAAAACAGAGGCCTTGAAATTCAAGTAAAAGCTGATAGACAGGCTATTGACTTTTCAACAGACTATAAAATTGCGAGTTAAACTGCTGTTTTGTACTCTAACGTTGGTCATTTTTGTCTAGTTACCAAGAGTTCATCAACCCCCTCAAAGAGCTGGTGTATGAGAGCTTTGACCCCGAGGAGTTCCAAACCCGATGGGCAGAGTTTATAGCCGAGTATAAGTTGGAGGACAATGAATGGCTACAAAGCCTACACAAAGAGAGTGGTATGTGGGTGCCTGCTTACATGAAAGAGTTTTTTTTGGGCTGGTATGAAGACCACACAAAGGGTGGAGAGCATCAATCGGTTTTTCGATGGCTATGTTAACCGCAAAACCAAACTACATGAGTTTCCTGAAAAGTATTGCAAGGCCTTGGATCAACGCGTTCGAGATGAAGTGAGTGCAGATGAGCGTTGCTCGAAGTACCTTAGGAGGTTGGTTAGTGGCTTCAAAGTGGAAAAAATATTTCAAAAGTTATACACGGACAACAAGTTTCAAGAAGTTCAAAAGGAGTGTACGAGAATGATGTATTGCAACGTCCGAGGAGAGAAGGTTTTGTCTGAAAACCTTATTCAGTATTCGGTGGTCGATCGTGTATGGATAGTACCTCCCGGTGGCGGTGAGGATGTCATTACAGATAGGCGAAGAACCTACAATGTTACTTTCTTTCCAACGACAAAGGAGGTGTAGTGTGAGTGTAGGAAGTTTGAGACAAGTGGCATACTTTGCAAACACTGTATTAGAAGTACATTGTAGCCCGTTGGCGGAAGGACATACCCCGGAAGCACACTAGGGTGAAGGTGGCCTACCATGATCCGGGCGACACTGTCACTGTGAAGAGATTCAACAAAATGATGGGAAAATTCGAGCCCTTATGTGAAACCGCTGCCATGGTGGATGATCAAACGGTCCATATGGTATTGGAAACACTGTCGAAGCTTCAATTAGCTGTTAATGACCGTAGGGACAAGAAGAGTCAGGAGAATGTTCCGGTAGTTAGTACACTATCATCAGCAGGTGAAGACATAACGATTTCCTCAGTTAGGAATCCCGCTCCTACTGCTCCTGCAGAGCCCGGAGACCCCTGTCCAGCTGCCATGGACCCAGTTCTCAAAGACCCTATAATTAAGAAACGGAAAAGGGGGAGGCCTAAGGGTTCAAGGCACAAAACGTTAGCTGAAACTGGCTACAAGAAAACCAACAAGAATAAGAAGCCTAGTCCTGTTAAGATTTATGCTTTGTTCTTTGTTCAATAACTGCTTAGCCTGTTATTATTCTATTCACTCTCTGACTGCTGTTATTATTCTATAGGACGCAGGAGATGATGTTGGTGTTGAGGAGGATGCAGGAGATGGTGTTGAGGAAGAAATGGTGTTGCAGGAAATGGTGTTGAGGAGGATGCAGGAAAAGGCAGGAACGGGAGAACCAGGTAAGACAAAGGGGAAGGGCATTCCAATCGAGGGGAAGACACAAGATTATTCAACAGGAAAGGGGTGAAAATGTTGGTGTTCGAGGAGGAGGTCATGTAGAACAGAAGGATGATGGTGGTGTTGGCGGTGTTACAGGAGGTCCTGTACAACAGAATGAGGTTGGCGGTGTTGATCAGGAGATGTAATGCATAATTCAATATAAGAATCATTACAGATCTACTCTGGTAAGTATTGTTGTTCACTTGCATATGTGTTTGTCTTTGTATTCGTGTATTAATGTGTGATTTGATGTTGTGTTTAGCCTCTTCCTAAACGTTGGAAGTCACCGTGGTCCCGGAGGGCCAGCGTGGAATGTGGAATTGCTCGGTGCTAGAATTAATGGGTGGTCTATTCATGTATTCTGGTTGGGAGAACTTTGTGGCTGGCAATGATATCCAGCATGGTGATACGCTAAGTGTGCGTTATGTTGGTCAAGGAGTATTCCACATTACTAAGTTAACTGATAACTAGGATCTCCTGTTGTGATTTGTTGTGAGTGTTGAAAGTGTTGAACTATTGTGATCTCCGTTAACATTTCTTTTGCGTTAATGATCTCTTCTACTTCTACTTCTCTTCTATCTATTTACAAAAAATGTGTGTTTGATGCTATTAAATTCTCTAAATCATTTTTACCTTTTGCCTTGAATCTCAAAGCCTTGAATTCCGCCTTTTGCCTTTGAAGCTGAATTCAAGACCTTGAGATTCATATTCAAAGACCTTGACAACCTTGACAACTTAACTTTGCTTCGTTTATAGTTTAAACGAGTTGACGAGTCTCATTTAATTATTTTACTTATTTTAGTTTACTTCAAATCGCAAACATAGTATTTTGTCAATTGAAAATAATATTAATCCGAATAGTATTCAAAGAAACTGAAAATAAGAATATCCAAATCATTACAATGAAATGAAATACAAATAGAAATACAAATAAGAATATCCAAATCATTCATCTGTTAGCTCAGGCATTCGGCCCCTCCTTTGCCTAGCCTTGAAGTTAAACCCAGGCACTGGTGGTAAATCATGCAACTGCATCGAAATAAAGTTCACCGTAAGCAACTACTTTAAGATCAGAGTACACATGTGAAACAACTACTTTAAGATCAAACCTCACATTATTCACTCCAGCTTGTAAGGGTCCAACACTATCCCTTGCATCCCTTGGGTGGTGTTCACCGTAAGCAACATCCAATAGCTTCAACCACAGAAACAAATACAAATGGAATAAGGTTACTCTAAACCATACTATGCAATATAATAAAAACAATACAAAAGTTGAAAGAAATACAAAAGTGCTTACCCCTAGTTTCCCGTAGTCGCCGGACAGCAATTTGTCTGATTTTGCTGCCTTCCCAATCTTCTGCATAGTCCACACTTTAATTCTTGGAAAAACATCCCACTCAATAGGATCCCTATCCAACCAATCCAAGTAAAATATCTGCCAAATTGTAAAAGAAAAAGAAGCAATTACTAAAACAAAACGCACAAGGAAAAACAAAACAAGCAAGAATAAACTGAAACACTTACTACGGCAAATATTGCACACCCGCCGCATCCACTGGCAAACCCGTTAGCATAGAAACGTCGAGCAAAATTTTGAACGCTATCCAGCAACTTCGACAACACTAAAGAACACCAATCATACTCAGTTGCCTCCATAGCATAACTTACTGCAGGTAGTAGGTCAGACGCAAGCCGGGGGGACTGCGTGGGACACAACACCATCTCCAAAGCAATTATCAAGAACAACGTCTTGAATTCCTTTTCCTCTCCAGCATCAAAGTACCCCTCCAACCGATTCATCATATCTGAACTTAATGGTATGCCTACAGACGTGTATACCTGACCAGATTGTCCAACAGACTTCTTGGACTCCCACGATTTACCATACTTCAAAAAAATTCTCTGAACCTTTTCATGATCACGTTCGGTCATGGTTTTAGTACAAGGAACAGACCTAGGACCCATTGGTATCCCTAGTACCCACCGAACCTGATTCTTTGAAAACCTAAACTCAACACCGTTGGTACTTCTAAGTATTTTACTGATTGGATCCATCCGTGTCATCACCCAGTATGCCAATTGTCTTGGTAAATGCATATCTAAAGCAAGATGTAAAAGACTACCAAATCCCATCTCACAAACCCAACGTCTTCTCCTGTCATCAAATTTCTGACATATGCGCCCAAATGACTCAATGCGGCAACTCATGTTAGGAGGCTGCCAATGAAATTATAGTAATTAAGTTAATATCCCACACCAAATGACCACAACTGAATCAACAAGCAAACTTACCCGGCTTCTGGCCTTTGAATGTTCAGCCATCACCTCCGCTCTACCTTTGACAGCCCCTCCATAACTTAATCCGTCATCCTAAGAAGCACACACCAGTAACTTAATTCATGCATAAACCTTAATCATGCAAAAACACCAAACACCAAATTCAAACGCACCGAACAGAATTCCATGTTGTAGTACCTTAAACAATTCCGGATACAAATGCATGGTCTTCTGCCCACATACCTTACTCTTTTTACTGCGCCCATACCCCTCTTCATCATCTTCAGCCTTCGTTACCAAAACATAAAACCATAATTCAAAACAAAATCACATCCCAGCCTCACCATTGTATCTAAAAAATCTAAAGAATATATCTAAAAAAAAACCAAAAACCCTCACCAATGTACGTTTACGCTTACCATTCCCCGCTGACATTTTCGTAATCCTGTCAAATACATCAAATACAGTGTGTTAATTACATTACACAATACTCAATCTAATCTAATCTACCAATACCCACAACCAACCATAACAAATCGAAACTCGATACGATTTCACACCATAACACAATATCACATATATAGAACGAATAATGAGCACCAATGAATGAATAATTCACCTCATTCCATCAAATGAACATTTCAAATGCAAAATTCACCTCATTCCATCAAATGAACATTTCAGAGCAGCATAACGCATCTAATTCCACTATTTAATTCCAGATAATATAAAAAATTAAAATAATTAAAGTCGAAGTAATCCGAACTGCCTTGAAATAATCTGCAAATAATTCTGTCAGTGAAATAATTCTGCAAATAATGTCAATTGAAATAATTCGAACCCTAAAAAAATCCGAACTGCCTCGCTGAAATAATTCTGTCAATTGAAACAATCGACGTACTGAACATCGACCCTCAACTCTATAACATTCGGAAAAACAACAAGCCAAGTTCGAATTGAGAAAAAAAAAGAACCCAAGTTCGAATTGAACATGAATCAGAAAGAACCCGGATAAACTAAGAGTTCGAGTTGGGACCTCTTCGAGTTGAGTTGAGTTTCGCCCAGCTCTTCAACTTGAGATTCCAAGAAGTCGAATTGAAAACCCGGAATCCGTGCCTTATTCGACTTGAGTTTCACCCAGATTTCGACTCTTCAGGAATACCCCATAACCGATGAAGCTAACGGCGTCACTGTGAAAACTCCATAAACACAGCTGGGCAAACCAAGTAAAACACGTCAGAATAATGAGGCCACATCACCCATCCACCAAATGACTTATATGAGGTATAATGTCGATTATACGCCCATGAGAAACATAAAATGTTTCTCATGGTGAGAAATGGGGGCCTCCTCCTAATTTATACACAGATAACACAATTATAAAAAGAACAATATCAATGCAACTAGCATGAATCTATTTCTCCTTCATGTTTTGAGGGTAAGTTTGATCGTATTATTAACAGGGGCAAGCTCTTTTCACCTGTACACAAGAGTGTCCAATACAAAAGATAGCAAAGGCCGAAGTATACGGATATTAACAAACAGAATACAACACCGATTATCTACGAAAGAGCGAGTAATCTCTGGGGAAAATGATACCATGAGTTTTCATTGTATAGACAATTTAGACATAAAACACCACCAAATGATATTAGCAGACCAGGCAACAATGTGTTAAAGGGGATCATCCTACATTAGCTTCAACCTCAAAATCTCAAATTGATTAATCAAGTGCTTCTGCATCTTATGCAACAAATAACTAATCAAGAACCATATGAATCCTATGATGCATCCAATAATCACAGATTGGATTATTAACCACAACCAACGAATAAAAAACGAAACATATAATCAATTAAAAAACACAAATTTACATCATCAAAATTAACGACATTACACAAAGCCACAATCCCACTTGCGATCTACCCTACTAACTCGACTAGGTTTAGCTCCGCTTAATATAACCTACAATTAGGTTAGAATCCGTGCGACGCACGTTTTATATAAAATCTATTTTTATAATTTGTACATACATTTAAAAGAGTGGATAAATATAAATAAGACTTATACACCTTGTACAAAAGTATTTGTATTTTTATAGTTTTAGATTTTCATCAAAATTATAATATAATACCTGTTCAACGTCGCTTAATACATAGTCCATTTATTAGTGTGCTATTTACATTTGTTTAATTTTATAAAGATAAATCGATAGGTTGTAGTTTTAACGTAGAAACTTCTAATATACTCTCTTTTTTTTGGCCTGGGTTTTAGGACATGGGTTTATGAAATACGGAGTAGAGAATAGGAAGTATCGGCCTAAGCCACTAGCGGGCTTATAAAGTTCCCTTCCGGCATCTTTTTTTTGTACAATTTGTGAAAATCCCTTTTTTTGTAATGTTATTTTCATTATTTTTTCCATTACGGAATTTTGACAAGACATTACGAAATTTAAATGAGTAGCATTAAAAAATCACATATAAAACGAAATAAGATAACTAAACATGGCCTAGTTATGGTTTGTTTTGATGATCCAAAAATTGCTAACCATACAGGTTTTACCCTAATATAATATACTTTGTGTTGTTAACTTTAAGCTGTCAATTTTTATTTTTATTTTTTTCACTTCAATTTAGTTTTTCAGTTGTTAACTTTAAGGGGTGTTTGGTATTGGTTTTTTAAAGGGGTGGAAACGGAATCATGTTAGCGTTTCCGTTACATTGTGTTTGGTTACGGACTAAAGTAACACAAACAGATTCTCTTTCCTTCCTCTAACACACAAAAAATAAAGAAAACTCTTCTCTCTCCTCTTCGCTCGCTCGACAATTATCTGAAAATTCCCAAAATTGTTCGACGATTCTACAAGGAAAGCTGCAATTCTCCAGATCTTGCTCCTAAATTTTCAATTTTCTACTGCAAATCTTCAAAAATTATCATAGGTTTGCTATCTTCATTTCTCTCATTCAATTTCTAGGGTTCGTGCAATATCAATTTTTCCGTTTCTGGTTTGAATTCTTTACTTGCTTGTTCGATTGAAATTTTTTTCTCTTTTGTTGATTTTCTGCTGAATTTGATGGTATATAAATTATATATTGCTATTATTGCTATAATTGCTGATTGTCGCTATAATCGCTCGACAATATCAATGACTCTGATTTAGAACAACTGCTGCAAGTATAATTTCCTAAAAATTTAGAACTGAGACATGGATGTCTAACGTCAGAATCATTATCATTTCCCTTTGACTTTACTTGAACAAGCATTGCAACTGTTATGTGGAAGGCCTTGTTCAAACCAAAAGCAGGCAAAGAATACGCCATAAGCTAATGTTATGGGTTTTGTTAGATTTATAAGTTTATACATTGGTTTGACATTTGATTAACTAGAGATTGATATAATTACAATGTTGTATTTGCTAATCTGAATGATTGGTTGAGCATTCTTTGTTGATTGCTGTTGTTTTGCTGTTTATCGGGTTCAATTGCGATTTATTTTCTCTATTTCTTGTATTTTAATGGTTTTGATGGGTAATATATTCATACTAGTGTACATTTTTTAGACTGATTTTTCAAGGTTTCTACAATGCCTCGACTTATGCGTTCCATAAGGAAGAAAAAGCTAAAACAAATACAACTAGTTATTTCAATGATTATTATTATTTTGATGATGTATTGGATGTGGCATATGATGTGTGTTGTTACAATAAGGGGTGTTCAAATAAAAGAAAGGAAAAGAAACAAAAAATTGTTACGAATGTTAGTATTGAGAGGGCTTTATAGGGAGAGTGATGTGAAATGCAAGAGTGAGCTTCAGGTTAATAGAATAACTTTCAATATTATTTGTGAGATGCTTAGAGACATTGGGGGTTTGAGTGGAACAAAAAACATGTCGTTTCAAGTGATAGTAGCCATGTTTTTATACACGTAGGCTCATCATAAGAAGAATAGGTCTATTGGGCAATACTTCTTTAAAAGTGGAGAATCTGTGAGCCGACAATTTCACCTTTGTCTAAGGGATTTTCTCAAGTTGCATGAAGTACTACTTTACAATCCCACACCAATATCGGATGATTGTGAAGATCAAAGGTGGAAACCCTTCAAGGTATTGGTATTTTCTAAGCCCCTAAATTTTGCTAGGATATTCTTATTTTTGCTTGTTTGTAAGTAATATTTTTTTCCTATTTTTGTAGAATTGTTTAGGGGCATTATATGGGACTTACATTAATGTAAATGTGCCATCACAAGAACGACCAAAGTATAGAACAAGAAAAGGAACGATTGCTACGAATGTATTGGGTGTTTGTGCACCTAATATGCAATTTATTTATGTTCTTCCTAGTTGGGAAGGTTCGGCCCATGATATGTTTGTACTTCGAAACTCTCTTTCTAGACCAAACGGTTTTAGGGTACCTCGAGGTAAGTGAAGGTCTTTTTTTTGTTAGTATATATGTTTGGTTAGTTTTGGTAGGTAGTGTTTAATAACTTTGAAGGTAATTATTATTTGGCTGATGCGGGATATACGAATTGTGAGGGTTTTCTTGCTCCATATAGTGGTCAAAGATACCATTTAAAGGAATGGAAGGATCGACAACCTGAAAGTGCCGAGGAGTTTTATAACATGAAACATGCTAGGGCCTAAAATGTGATTGAGAGATGTTTTGGCCTACTTAAAGGAAGATGGAGTATTCTTAGAAGTCCTTCATTTTTCCTTATAAGAACTCACGGACGTATTGTAATGGCTTGTTGCTTATTGCATAATCTAATTAGAAAATTCATGCCTACGGATGACATAAACGAAGATGAATTGAATGAATCCGATGATGATTCCAATGATGAAAGGGAATTTATTACAAGTGTTGCGACTTCAGATCATTGGACCAATTTTAGAAACGAATTAGTCCAAGATATGCTTAATGATTGGAGGGCGAGAGGTAGACATGGTCAATAGCACAAAATGTATGATTTTCTTTCTTTTTTTTTTCTTCGAGTACATTATGTATATGTAATCAATATCAATGTTAATCTCGGGACTATGGCTAGTACATGGTCTAAAGCGGAAGAAAGGGAGCAAAGGATGGATGAAAAAGTGAACAAGGTTTTGGATGAGGTGATGAAGTTAGATGAAATTTCTCCATCCGAAGCTTTAGAGGTTGCTACAATTTTTATGGCGGAAGAACATAAGCTCCGCATCTTCATCAAGCGCAACTAATATGAAGAAACAATATGCAATTGATCTCCTTAAGAAGAATTAGAAAGTTTTGTCCTAAGTTGTTATTGGAGTTAATGTTTCAATGGTTTTTGAATGCTTTTTTTTTTGGAAGAAAATACAAGGGTGGAAGGAGAAGCTATTATCTAGAGTCGGGAAAGCAATGCTACTAAAATCGGTAATACAAGCCATCCCAACGTATCTTATGGGAGTTTATAAATTTCCTTTGGGATTAATAAATGAGATACATGGGATGATGGCTCGATTTTGGTGGGGATCAAATGAGAGGGGAAGGAAAATTCATTGGAGGAGTTGGGACACTTTATGCCAACCTAAATTCTTAGGGGGATGGGATTCCGTGACTTAGGAGTGTTCAATGATCGATGCTTTTCTTGGAAAACAATTATGGAGGATTGCAACAAACGAATGTTCCTTGGTCAGTCGTGTTCTAAAGGCTAAAATATTTCCCTTACACTATGGTT